TGTGTGTGTGTGTGTGTGTGTGTGTGTGTGTGTGTGTGTGTGTGTGTTCGTGCGTGTGCGTGTGTATGTGTGCGTGTGTGTGGTCTCACGTACAAGAGCATCCTGGGTGTTTTTATCGAGAATGTTCGCACGAACTAAAATTACAGCAGAACGAATGACAAGCGAAGCGCAAAGTTCCTTCTAAACGCCTCGTCCTAACCGATTGTCGCGCGACGAAATCGCTCGCAGTTGAGCCCCGGCAAGAGTGGGGGCAAGGCGTAGGTTCTATTCGCGCTAACTTCTCGAGATGCTTTAAATCGGTCGAACGAGGATAGAGCATTTTCTTTCGTTTCTCCTTCTATCCTAGTTGGATCGACCGACGGACTGCGTTAAATCTAATCTACAAAAGCATCTCGAGAAGTTAGCGCGAATAGAACCTACACCTTGCCCCTGTTCTTGCCGCGACTCCGATTTTTGTCGTCGCGCGACGGTCAATTAGGGGCACAGGACAACGTTGTCTGTCAGTGGTGTACTCGAACGTCGGCGTACAACGGATTTACAATCGAACGAAAGTACAATGTTGATCGTTATAATCGCAAATGCTTATATTCGAACGCTTTCGTATTGTTTTTTTGTGTGTGAACGATAACCCGACTATTCTTCCCAGAGCGATAAGAATATTTCGTCGATCGTTCAGCCTCTGCGCACTCGGTTCGCGGACGCTTGTCTCGTTAGGTACGAAGCCTGCGCGTGTCTAAGGGTGTCGCAATTGAAATAAACATCGGATAGGCCTGCGACCGAATGCAGAAAAGTCGAACAACGACGCGGAACTGAATAATTGAACGATAGTTATAATTGCTTCACTTCGTATTGTTTTTTTTTTTTTTTACCTTTTTTTGTATCGTTTTCCGTTTATATATATATATATATCTGGTTCATTATTCGCAACTTTACAATTATACTGCGTCTCGAACAAGCATCTATTTTTTGAGTTTTAATTTAATCCGCTACTATGCTTGCTTGGGGCTTCCACTCTCAGTTTACATCGAACAACAGATTCACCGCTCTTTAAACATTGGTAACAAACTTAGCCGACGATGTCTAATAGAAAAACGTCAAGTGATTCGTACCAGCGCTTGCATAGCATACATACAGATTCATACGATAAGCGCGACGTGACAGATGCACGCTTATGGTGTGAATTTTGTAGAAAACTCTTTTCGTAGAAAATTGACGCTAGGGTAATGTTTATTTTCTCTCTCATATATATACATATATATCTCACTCTCTCGCTCTCTTACTTCTTGTTTTTGTTTGTTTTTTTCCTCCTTTCTTTTTTTTTTTTAATTATTATTATTTTTTTTTTTTTTTCGTTTCTTTACAAGGCGTTACTACGCAGGTTTCTCGCATGACGAAGATGACTTCTACGTGGTGCCACACTACTGGGTCTCGCTAACAATAAATGCATATTCCAATAACTACAGTTACTCGTCGAAATATCCACCTGTGCAACTCTGAACCGAGGATATACGGATTTACCTCGGTGTAAATTCGTGCTCGAAGCTGGATGCTACGTGTAAAGTTAACTGAATCGTTAAAACTGATACCAAGAGAGATTTGTTCAGGAGGACTGCTTCGTTATTTATACTTTAGAGTGCGTTAACACGTCGACTGCCAGACAAATAAACGTGAAAATTTCTGCGAGGCTGAATTTGAATATTGTAGAATTAGAAATGGCGTGACGCAACGTTCGTGGTAGTACTTGTTACCTCTTTGGAAATGACCAATCCCATCTGGATTAATTTTTACGGACTCCTCGCCTTCAGAATTAATTCATTTAATTCCTCGGCGAAAATCCTTGTCACCCACGCGTGACCGACGGTGGCGATCGACGCGTTAAAGTGGATCGGAATCGATCATTCCAGCTTTAACCCCTTGTCTTACGATTTGGGTATAAAGTGTCTGACTCGTGGTTTTCGTGCCCGATTCGAATTCCTAATCGCGTGTCTCGCACGTTGTTACGGGCTCTAGCCTGTAAGAAACAACAAAGGGTTAAAAATTGACCTAAGCGAATACGGTACGAGCGGATACTCGTCGAATGGCTGTACGCATTAAAATTAAAAACGCTGGAAAACTAGAAGTCTGCTCGAGTAAAAGAGAAGTTGTCGAGATGAAAGCTGTCGATGAACAGCGGCTAGCCTAACCGAGTTACCTGTACGAGATCTACAAGGCAATCGAGGTGTAAGTTTCAGTGTGGATGACCGTTTAATATCTTCGATTTCGTTGTTTCGATCGCTTGCGGGCTCTTAAACGATGGCTACACACGGGAAACAATAATCAAATATACATTTTCTTTTTTATCGGATCACAGAGCGTAGGTCTACTTAGGATCTAGGGAGTCGACGACGCGCTAAAACCAGTCTTGTGTCACCCTGTAGAGATCACCGAGAGAAACGCTTTGTCAGTGTACTGTCTAACGAAGCTTAGCATTCTACTTGGCATTGGACAGTCGCATGTTTCGTTATCGATCGTTTTTTTTTTTTTTTTGTGTCGCGTTTGATCCATGAAACCGGAAACGGAGGTTTAGGTCTACGACTGCGTCTCAGCTATACTTCTGCCGCTCGACTACGCTCGATTATTCTTTTTTCTTTTTATTTTTCGTGGGTCCTTGGGAGAATTGCTTCAACGTCGGAAGCCAATGACGTCGCGAAGGGAATTTCGAGAGTTACGTGCATTGCGAGATTGGAGGGTCGGGGGTAGGTCTCCTGTGAAACGAAGGAATTCTGCCTAGCGATGGGCGTTTCGCTCTCTGCCATTTCGCTCTCTGCCATTTCGAATGATTTCTGGGCAAACGATGCAGGGATGCTTCTCGATATCAATAGATAACAGTCCAAAGCATTGCATCAGATTTTTCTAAAAGTGTTTCAGCGAAAGTCACTAATTCGTGAAAGAATTACGAGATAGATTAGGTCCTCAGTTATTTGGAACGATTTCTATGCGAACAACGAAGAAAAGCTTTTCGGTATCGATAGATAACAGTCCAAAGCATCGTATTACATTTGTCTGACCCAAACTTGTAACTCTCTTTCGAATAAGAAATAATTAACTCTCTTTCAAAAATGTTCCATAAGATGAATCAGATCTCCAGCTGTTTAAAATAATTCCTACACAACCAACAAAGGAAAGCTGTTCGATATCAACAGATACCAGTCCAAAGTATCGTATTCAATTTTTCTGCTACTAAACTTCGTCTCTAATTCGCGAAAGAAATAAGTGTCTCTCTTCCAGAAATGCTCCACGAGATAAATTAGATCTCCAGGTATTTAAAATAATTCCTACACAACCAACAAAGGAAAGCTGTTCGATATCAACAGATACCAGTCCAAAGTATCGTATCAAATTTTTCTGCCACAAATCTTCGTCTCTAATTCGCGAAAGAAATAAGTATCTCTCTTCCAGAAATGCTTCACGAGATAAATTACATCTGGTCCAGTCTCAAGCGATATTCCAAGCTCTGTTAGAGCCTTAGTGCCCATCGCCAGTTCTACCTAGGTCGGGTTAGGTCTACCTACACTTCGTGACGCAGCTGTATCTGTTCGCTATCCAGCAAAGGTATCGCTGCAAAACGTACTCTTAGTCGCTCAAAACGAAACATCTGATATGTAAGATCCGAGATACACATTCATGGCGCTACAGTCTTTTGTGTTTATATACTTTTTTTGTTTTGTTTTATTACTTCTTCGCGTGGCTCTAAGACAATTCTAGCGTTGCGTTGTTACATCAGCCTGCGAACCGCGAATCGACGATCTCGCAATTCATCATCGACGAGATCGCGCGAGAAAGATTTTTGCGTGGAACGCTTTCCTTCGCTTCCTTCTTTTTCTCTTCTCCTTTTTCTTATAATTGAACTCTTTGTCCCCTTGGATACGTCCCCCCCCCCCCCCTCCCCTATACGAACATACCAATTTCCGATTTCCTGAATCGTGAACTCGTTCCCGTTCTCTGCTAAGCCGCGAAACCTATTCCTCGTTGATACAAAAACTATTCGCCTTTGTATGTTTTCTCTTTTTTTTTTTTGCATTATTTTTGTTCTTTTTTTTCTGTTTTTCGTCGTCTTAATTACGTCTCACTCGTGTCGCTCAGCGATAACGACGCGTCGCGCGTTTTATTCGTGCATCTTGGAACAGCGCTTTTTAAATATATATATATATATATATATATTTTTACTTCTTTTACTTTTGTTCGATAATAATTCTAATGTCGTCTTATCCCCCTCGTAAATCCCTCGCGCCTGTCCTGGGACGATTCTCCCGCGGGAATGCCGTGCTCTCTCTCTATTTCTCTCGCCCCTGCGATATATATATATATGTACACAGTAGGTATATGTACACACAGGTTTTACGATGGGCGAATAATTATGGTTTCCGGAGCACTTGGTCGCGCTTCGACTCGTTTATCAAAGTTAGCAGACAGTGGTTAAATAGTTGTCTGTTAGTTAGCAGTGATAGTAAAGAGTACAACGTTCTTCGCGCTTTGCGTGTCTTCTCGTTTTTCAACTCCCTGCCCCCCCCCCCCCCTCCCCCCCCCCCCGCCCTTATTTCGAATGAACCGTTCGATTTCGTTCCCCGTCTTCCCGAAGTAGCAACGATAACCTTATATCACTTCCGTCTGGTTCTATTTTATTTTCCGTTTTCTCTGTTGCGATTAGTCGTTCAGTTCACCTTAGGCCCGAAACCTCGCTGGCAGATTAGTCCCAGACCGATTTAATGTGTATAGATTAATCTATAAAAACGTCGGTCATGCGGTCTACGAGTATTCTACCGTTGCTTGGGAATGCTTGTGACCCTTGGTACGCAATCATCCTTTTGTCGCTATTACAATATTATTAGTATTTTATATATATATATATAATATGTATATATGTATATATACACAGGGTGTCCGAGAATTAGTGGAAGAAGCGGAAACGGGAGCTAGCTGAGACAATTCTGAACCACAATTACCTTTGCGAAAATGTCGGACGATGCTTCGTTTTCGAATTATTAACGAAAAACCTCGGACCAATCGCAGCACCTGAAAAGCGCGCGCTCAGTCGCGAGAGCATAGGCTCGAGCCGGGATTGGCTACGCCAGGTCGCGGCGTGCTACTCGGGCGTTGCGATTGGTCCGTGGTTTTTCTTGAATAATTCAAAAACTAAGCACCATACGACATTTTTTCAAAGCAGGTTGTTATTCAGAATCGTCTCGGCTACCTCACATTTCCGGTTCTTGTACTAATTCTGGGACACCCTGTATATTTAGAATGACGTGAGGAGATGTAAAATAATGACAGAAAACTCTCTCTTTCTCTCTTACATGAAAAATAGGTACTTCTGTTTTCCTCGCATGTGTGTAGGTGTATGTTTACATATGTATATGTATGAAACGCATGTATAATATTCCTAATCTCTTACATGGGTATTTCTTTAAATATATATATATATATGTATATATGTACATGTATGCATAATCACATATGCACAAAGGTGTACACGTTCAACTAGGAAACGAATGGCACGTTTCTTTCACCCGCCATATGTCAGTGAAAAGTGTCAGAGTGTACGTCAAAGTAACAAGCAACACTGCTATTTAAATTAGACTCTTATAGCGTTTGTTTTTAAAGAAGAGTATTATCGTTAACAGACCTACGCCGAGTAACTGTTAGAACAGTGGTTCCTGAATCATCGACGAAGAGGTCTCTAGAGACTCTTTCGTAAGGGTTAAAGATTCTTTTTCATCGAAATAGAAATTTGATGGTACTAAGCAAAAGATATATTATTTGGAAACCTTGGAATATTTCTATAGGATCGGAAATCAACGAACTCGATGATATACTTTGATAGGTCTTCTATATAATTCAGGAGCCACTAGTCCAGGAAATATTCCCTCAGAGTCGGGGGTCCCTTCCTCCGTCGCGAGTATAGAAATATCAGAAAATTCAACAGTCGTCTTAAACTTTCAAAGACACAAAGAATGTCGTCGGCTGAAACGATACACCAACGGTTAGAAAAATAATACGGTTCGCTAGGGGTAAATGGGAGTTTGGTCAATTGACTTCGAATGTATCGTTTCGTCTCAGAGGTGTGCCCAGTCCGACTGAAAACTCATTAGGAGAAGCTCTGGGAATCGTCGCGATAACTGTCCGATAAGTATTGGTGTTGTCGGTGATTAATCATTTTTCGTTCGCGTTACAATTAAAATATTACGTGATATCTTGCAGCACTGTATCGACCGCTATGCATAATACTTTGCGTGTGTATATATATATATGCGTATATACGTACACATATGTACGCGTACACGTGCAGATATATATACAGGGTATCCCAGATTTAGTGTAAGGACTGGAGGGTAGCTGAGATGATTCTGAACAACAACTTCCTTTGCGAAAGTGTTGGATGAGGCTTTGTTTTCGAATCATTAACGAAAAACCACTGACCAATCACAGCGCCTGAAAAGCGCGCGTTCAGTCGCGAGAGCATAGGCTCGAGCCGGGATTGGCTGGGTACGCCAGTCGCAACGCGCTTGCTCGGGTGCTGTGATTGGTCGATGGTTTTTCGTTAATAATTTAAAAACTAAGCATCATCCGACATTTTTGCAAAGGAAATTGTTATTCAGAACCATCTCAGCTACCTCCCAGTTCTTACACTACATCTGGGATACCCTGTATATATATATATATATCAGGGTGGTCTTTATTTCAACGATTTCTGATATCTATGTCACTCCCCTAGATAACTTGCAAAATACATATGAAAATTTGCATATTATTTGTTTTCAACTATTCCGATATATTCAGACCTGTACCACCTACCAAAAATCGACATGGACTTTCCAGACAACGCAATATTTTCTATTCAAGCTTTTCGAAGGTTTGATGCACGTGTGTGAATTTCGTTGCATGGATTCCCAAGGTATTTAGAGGGTGTGCAACATAAATTGAAAAAATCATTAAAACGACCACTCTGATATATATATATATATACACACACGCACACGTGTGTGAATCTGTTTTTATTTACGTCTTAACAACTGCCTAGTTAATGCGGTAGTGGATGTAATAATCATTGCAATGATAATCGTAACAATAATAATAATAATAATAATAGTAATAATAATAATAATAATAATAATTTATTACATAATATTTATACCTTTTGGTTTTTATTTTCTTTTATAGTACATCGCGTCTGTTTCGCCCGAATAAAAAGGTACTTCCTCTCGCGTTCCACTGAATATATATTTTATTCATTGACGTTTTAGTCGTGGCCAGCCCAAAGGACTCTCAACAAGTTAACACGGTCTTTGGGCTTTCGATTAGACTTTATTTTCTTTTAATAATATTATCTTCATTTCGTAGAACGACTCCATCGTCCCACCCAACCAACCCCCCCCTCGGATATTTCGTACCTTTACATCTCCCTTTGGGGTCTCGTTCGCGTCTCAGGACGGTCTTCCTAAACTCCGATTATATAATAGAACTTGTATACACAGCTCGGCCTTATAGCGTTATCACTACGCTTTTCGAAGCGACTCAAGACGTATTAGAAAATAAAAGTGGAGCTATTATTTTTTTTTTTTGTTTCAACGAAGCGAGGCTTTCTCTGTCGATCTCGAAATAAGGATAGCACTCCTCTTCGCTCCCTTACCTGGGATCTTCATCGTTCGATTCCCATCTCGGAGTTATCCATCGGTTTCATCTTCCCCGTCTTCTTCCTCCTCGTCTCCCGGGAATCGCTCGCACGGGACTAATTTACGATACGAAGCTAAATTCAAAACACGTTAACAAACATAATAACTGGAATTATTCTCGTCTCGGCGAGTACCTTTTCTTCTATGTTAGTTGCCTTAAAAAAGAAACGAAACAAAAGGGAATCCTAATTGTTCGTATATAGATTATACTCTCCTCTCTGTCCCCCGCCGTGGGGTCTCTTCGCCATTGCGTAGCGGGAAACGTCGACTTGCGAAACTAATTGTTCGTATGGGTTTTCTCGTAAACTCTTGCCCCATTTCACCCATCTTCAATTTTTTGTAAAGTGCAAAACGTCGACTTGCAAAATCACAGAGAATTTACGCACCGTTACACTGTTACTTAACTTCATTTTCTTTTAGGATTACCTAGTCCACGACATCGGACTAACATATGGACTAGCTCTATAAATTTCTAGGCCTGCTCTTCGTCGTCGTTGAGATCTTCATCCGTGGTCGCGTCGTATATATTGTTTTCGCCGTGGTACGACGCTCGTCGTTGACGTTCCGATGAAGAGTCTCGCGGCAGAGAACGGCTCCTTGTCCTCCAACCGGTGACACAGCGTTCGATTCGAAAGTAGGTCCTTCGTGGTCGCGTCCGTACGTCGATCTAGCCCTAAGAGAAAACCGAAGGGACGATCGTGAGCCTCCGCGCGCTCGTCTGATTCACCCATCGAGCGTCGGTTGCTATTTATTGCTGTTAAAGTCGAGTCCTTTTCACCGAGAAAAAATGGTGTCCAAAAACGACCTCGGCCGCGTACTGTGTCACCATTGGAGAATGGTATACTTCGGTCCACGCGGTTTTACGCGCAGATCCTGGACAAACGTGCCATCAGGTTAATATAAGGCGCTAGAAACCGATCGCTACAGGACTACTGGCATAGCGTATATCTATGTATAGACTGCTTCTAGAGTAGCGTCCAGAATCCACGCTTAAAACGCTCTCGTAAACGATATCCTATCGACAGCGGGGACCACCGTCACACATGGAGCCGTTAGTATCTCTCTGTGTGCTAGTATAACGAGTGTCGTCATTGATACGAGTCCTTGTGGAAAGTGTCGCTTTTGTGGAAGATTTTACGTCCTTCTCTCGAGAGCTCCTGGCTCGCGAAATTGTTCTCAGACTTCGGTCTGGGCAACAGGCAGGCTGGAAGGGTCCTCAGCTCCATGCTGTGTACCTGCGAACACATTTTCTCCTGTACAATACTCCTGTCTCCAACCTTTCGCCATGCATTTTTGCTTCATTCGACTAGGACATACTAGGGGTACTTAACCCTTTCTAACCTGAATTACTTTGTCTTCTCTTACTAACGTAATGTAATTTTTAGGGTTAACTTGGACTAAAATTAGTATGGAAAGAATAAAGAAAATCCTAATAGTGTAGTTTTTAAGAAGCATTAATTGAACGCTTTGAAACCTATCGTGACTTTCAAGTCCACTTCTATGAAGTTCCTTTTTAATTGTCGGATGGCAGCACAAGCTTATTTGTTTGTTTGTTTGTTTATTAAATTAAAGTGCGTATATTCTTAGAAGTATTTCGCACTACAACGCGCTGCTCTCTTTTTACATTGTCTCGTCTAAACATTTTACATAAATGCTTCTTAATCTCTATCCTTACTGGCTGACTTTATAATTATTATCCTTCTTATGACTAACCGCAATAAGGAAAACAGAAACAATCAACTTTTTAATTTGTAACAGCAAAAGCTTTCTTTTTTTTTTTTGGAAACTAGTTAGAGACAACTTTATAAGATGATATAAACCAAGATGAACGCCTAAATTTTAAAAACTTTTGAGAAATTCGGTATGAATTCAGTAAACGAAGGATTAAAGTACTACTTTTTTACAGGCAGTTATCCTAGACCAACCAAGTGTGTAAATACTTTTTTTCGACCAGGCTGTACTTGATCGTTTTAATATTTCATAGCCATTGGTGAATTAATGTTCGAAAATGTATTTACCGATTCTTCGCTAGCGCTAGCATGCGCAGCCTGCTCCGCCAGAGCGTTAACCACGGCGTTTATCGTTTTGGACTCACTGCCGAGGTCCTCCTCGCGGTGAGCCACCAGGTTCGGGTTCTTGCCAATTTTGTTTAGCCTAGAAGGAGAGCACAATTAAGCGTAGGGAATGTTGCATGGAATACAACCAACGATTATTCACATCGATCAACTTACAAACCGTTTAGCAGTACAGGTTTTGCTTAACAAAACGTATTTACTCCGCCACGACTTGCAACAGATTAGTGTTATTTGTTCTAATACCACTTGCACCGCTAAAGGTTTTACAATGTGAGGTACAAGATTGGGTAAATGAGACTCAGTAGCTTTGAAAAGCAATCTACAGGGTCACGTTTCCGATCGATCCTAAACGTTTCGATTACAAGCTTCTAAATTACTATTAACGCGTCGATAACGTTGACGTTGCTTTGTTACGCAAGAAACGTGATTCTGCAGAGTTGCAGCAAAACTGAGAATCCAACTGATCGATAAAGAATGTTATGCAAAATTATGAATACAACATTACCATGTAGTGAATGTGTCGAGAGTGTAGAAATATTTTGTCGCGATGTCTCATGGTTCTCGATCGTATTATTTCGAACCGAGAAAATATTCGTCGAAACCCTCTCAACTCATTTGGGAACGCTTATCCGGTAGACAGGCGTTCCTTGGCTCGCAAGTTAGTGCGCTCTCGTTGTAAAACTTTCTCCCCCAAAATTAGTATTCTGCACTGTCACGTTGGAACGTTTGGTATTCCAAAAATAAAATAAAATAAATATAGAAAGAAGCAGATCTCTCTTCACACCGCGGAATTTCGAGACAAAGTTTCATTTTGTGTGTGTAAGGTGTATGTAAAAGAAGCACATAGAGTCCAAACCAGCTGTATAACAGAGAAATTATACTGAGTAACGTGTCAAAGAGAAGCGACATGATGTTTGGACGCAACAAGAAATGACTGATCTCGCATTGTTCGGACAGTACACAATGTTCAACAAAATTAACATGGAGGTGGGAGTGATGATTGACATCTAGTAGCACACCAACTCGATAGAACAAACCTAACCAAAGCTTATACCTCTCGGCGGCAACGCTTTCCATCGTTCTGCGCATTAGTGGATACTGGTCCAACACGGCGTTGAAGTGATCCACCGAGAGGCTGAAGAGATTGCAGTAGGTCTCCGCGCGGACTGACGCCACTCTCCTCGCGTTCGTCAGCAGGCAAATCTCGCCAAAGTATGAACCATCTGACAACGAGGTAGCGACTTCGCCGTTCGCCATTACGATATCGACTATGCCTTCTTGTATGAAGTACATTTTAGAGCCGATCGTACCTTCCTTGATGATGATATCACCTGGAACGCGCAACCACTCTCGTGTCAACGTTCTCTGATCAACAACTAGCTTATTTAAAACAAGACATTCCACATAAACTGATATTAGTATTAGTTTCTATCGCGACTCGCACTTAACTCATTGCCAGTTGTTTTGTCTGGCAGTCTTTATATATGTTACGGTAAATGTAATAAACTGGGGATTATGCATAATCACCACTAAGGTTGGTAATAAAATATGGAATATTTATCAAACCGACCGGTGATTTTATATAATCTCCAACTTGTAACGGGGAAATACTGTCTGAGTAGGTTTAGACCCAACCCTACTTCAGCACTTGAAGGGTCCCCGGAACTAATGTACTCTTGAGATATGAAAACCATCGCGAAACCGAGTAGACAGCATCTGCATTGACAGTTTCGTCACATTCTCCATTACGAATTTGGGATTATATTTAACAGTATTCAAAATTCCCGCCCCCATCAATAACTATCCCAAACCTACTCAGACAGTATTTCTGTGTAGACAGCATATGCATCAACAGTTTTATCACATTCCCCGTTACGAGTTGGGGATTATATAAAATCGCCGGTAAATTTGATAAATGTTCCACAATTTATCACACTTACCAACTCCAGTGTTAGTTTTAAATTCCCCTACCACGAATTTTAATTCCGCCTCGATACTTAACCAGACACGACGAAATCACATATCTAGAAGGCTATCGTAACTTCTACGAAGTTCCACGAAGTTCCATGTCGTCTAAATTTGGCCCGTTTTAGTTGCCAGGCAGCTCTAATTTCTCTTCGGAGCTTCTTAACAAGATGTAATTGAAAATTACGTTTCTAAATTGATAGCATCCTCTCAAAAGGCTCGAGCCGAACTTCAGAAAGCTGAGATCGACGAGGGATTCGCGATGCGCGAGATTTCTAGGATCGTAGGATCGATACCTGGCTGGAAGACTTCGTATCTCAGTTTAGTAACGACATCCGAGACAAAGTTCGAATCGGCGTTGGCAAAGAAGGGAACGGAGGCGACCAGCGATCTGCAGTTGTAGTTTATCACGTCCTGAGAAGAAAGAGGAACGCGTTAGAGCGTTGTACAACGATGACGTTGGTTCGGGGTACGTTTTTTCGGCGTACCTCTCTTAGTTTCTCCGAGAGCTCCCCAAGAATCAACTCCTCGTCGAAGAATTTGCCCTGGTAGCGATGCTCGAAGTACTCCGTGATCCTCTGTCTCATTTCTCGTGGCAACTTCCGGTAGGCCATGTACTCCTCTACTTGCTTCACCTGGGTGGACCAACAACAGTCAATTGGTGCTTCTTGGGGGAGTATTTTCTTTATTTCTTTACATGTACATATATTCTATATTTGCAGGAGGACTTCTTCGAATTGGGATACAGATTTACAAGGAAGACACTGCTGGGAATATTTTGACGTCGAGTGATTGGATGAGACTTGGTTTCTATATTTGCAATAGGATTTATTTATTTTCCTCGAACATTGAGAAATGAAACTATGGATCTATAAGGAATCCGCTGGAAATATTTCAATGTTTTCAAGAATCAAAGGATAGAGGACAGAGGCTTCTTCGTGGATGTTCCTTTACATTAAATTCGAACAAATAAATTTGTAATAAGTTCTTCTTTTCAAGCAATTACGTCCTCGTTATCAACAGCTTTTGCCATCTAGTGTGCAATGTTTCAATACTGATGAACGATAAGTATTTAAAATTGCAAAGACGACGTTACTTTTCAGTCCAAACGCTGACAAATTGAAATATAGATTTGTGGTGGCATCTCCTGTCCTCACCGCTAGAGGAACGGACACCGCATGTTTCTCACAAGCGCCTCAGCCTGCCTAAAGTTAGGCACGGGCCTGCTAGGTAGCTTTACTGACGAGTCCACTAGCAGGCCCAGGACGAAACGCTCCCTTTCTTTTCTCCTCTCTCGCTCCCCAGGAACAACCACCACAGATTTATAAGGAACACTGCTGGGAATATGTCTTCAAGGATGGAAGGATGGAGGACAGAGGCTTCTTCATGGATCTTCTTACAATTTTAACCACTTCCTGGATCTATAAAGGTGCTGGGAATATGTCTTCAAGGATGGAAGGATGGAGGACAGAGACTTCTTCGTGGATCTTCTTACAACATTAACCACCTCCTCGATTTATAAGGGTGCTTGGAATATGTCTTCAAGGATGGAAGGATGGAGGACAGAGGCTTCTTCGTGGATCTTATTAGAACATTAACCACCTCCTCGATTTATAACGGTGCTTGGAATATGTCTTCAAGAATGGAAGGATAGAGGACAAAGGCTTCTTCGTGGACCTTCTTACAACGTTAACGACCTCCTGAATCTATAAGGTTGCTGGGAATATGTCTTCAAGGATGGAAGGATAGAGGACAAAGGCTTCTTCGTGGATCTTCCGTCAACGTTAACCACTTCCTGGATCTATAAGGGTGCTGAAAATATGTCTTCAAGGATGGAAGGATAGAGGACAAAGGCTTCTTCGTGGATCTTATTAGAACATTAACCACCTCCTCGATTTATGAGGGTGCTTGGAATATGTCTTCGAGAATAAAAGGATGGAGAACAGAGGCTTCTTCGTGGATCTTCTTACAATGTTAACCACCTCCTGGATCTATAAGGTTGCTGGGAATACGTCTTCAAGGATGGATGCCAGAGAGTTCTTAATTACCTTCTCGCGGTATTGTCTTCTCGACGAATCGAGAGATTGAATGAGATTGGTGGCGTGTCCGAGGAACAGTGCGTAACAGGTAGCACCGCTGATCATGCTGAGCATAGTGAGCCACATGTCGGTCAAGGACTGCGGCGGAAACCTTCCGTATCCTATGCAGAGCATGTGCGACATGGCTTTGAAAAGGGCCCACGAGTATTGTTCCAGCCAGAATGAATCCTGTAACAGGATATCGTCACGGTTATGTTAAAGCTTAGACGAGCCCAAGGCCAAGCGGTATACCTACTTGCAGCTCGTTAATGGCGACCCACGAGTTACTAGGAAACCCTTGGAGCATAGGAACCAGGAATTGCAGGCAGCCACTCCAGTGGCCGATTAGGAGCATCATGCAAATCAGGTTAAAAATCCGCATGAACACCGATGCCATATTCAGGAACTGCCAACAACAACGACAAAGGTTTATTCTCGTGCCAGCCGCCGGCAGCCATGATGTCGTTCACACGTCGGTTAAAAACTTCTCTCGTTATCCAAAGCTCCGGTTGCGTAGTGTACAGCAAATAAGCGAGTGTTGTACGAAAACGCGTCAAACGTTAATTCAATTAATACATTGTCAAAACTATCTCAGTAACTGTTATCCAAAGACTGAATCAAGGACCGAGTAAACTACCCGACGTTCGCCGGTCCAGACCCCGATCAGCCGTCCATCGACGCGTTTTTAACCCTCGAACTTGAAAGTTCCGCTACAATCAATCACGATCGATTCGTTTTCCCCTCGGATTTCCTTTAGCTTCGATTTTCCGAATTAGCTTTCGGGGTCTGAACGCGAACAGTCTCAGTGTCTTTTCTCTCCTAAGTAGTCTTCGCTGTTCATACTTCCGGGTTTCAGTTTTCAGTCCAATAAAAGCATGCTACATTAGAAAATACGCATCACGTGGCACACAAAATAACAAGTCAATGTAACCTAAAAAACGTTTATAATAATGATTACTCTACGAATGCTCTAAACAGAAGGAACAAAAATGATGTATACAATATATACATATATATGTATATATATGTATGTATCAGTTAGCACTGCTCGGCCAAGATTCGCAGACCCCGCTTACAGGACGCTGTTCAGAACGTTCAGATGTTCAAAGTACGCCTTACGATGTGATCAAAGTGTGCTCGGCTGAACAGCGCGCCATAAGCACGATATGGGAATCGAAGTCCTTTACTAAGAAAAGAAGCTGGAGAACGCAGAAACCACTCCGACGAGAGCTACTCGTGATCGCCATACCGCGTTCGTTCTTCGCTTTTTAATAACAACCTTTTTCTTTTTTATTGTGTCGCAATGACACTGTTCGTGATTGTACTCCAGTCAATTTGCGATTCGTTACACGTTCGAATCGGTAGCTTCGTGCTCGATAGGCGTGACTAGTTCTTCTCTTTTTATCGCGTCGCGATCGTGTCATAGCGTATTATGCTGGCTCTGACGTTACTTTTCTACTTCTATTTTTATTTATTTTACGGGTCTGATTTTTATTTTTCTATCGAAATGCAATAGCAGAGGCGTTCGTACAATTACAAACAGTATCGTGCGCGGCTCTTTTTATCCATAATAACTCTTGAAATATTTATAGAACGTCGCGTTGCCTTCGACAACATTCGAACTGATTTTCCATTTCCATTCGCCCTGTTTTCGAATCGAAAGAAACAAAATTTGCTTTCAATCCCTGGGCTCGTCCGACGAATTAAAAAACATTGTTGATCGAGCCCGAAAGCGTGATTAATTTTTCAAAGCGTCGTCCTGTTGGATTTTACGCCGTAACAGGTTTCGAGCCGACACGCGATGTTCGATCCTCTTTTAACGAAAATGAAAAACATCAGCCACGATCCCGAAATCCCAGTCGATCCGTTTATTGAAAAATTTGCAAAATTAATTTTTCTACCTTCGGCTGGATTTCCATCCAATTTTCGAACGCGATTTACATCCGCCTTTTAATTAAAAAAATAATAATAATAAAATAACAGAACAACGTTATCGAATCAAGCGAAAATCGTTCGAGTTGGATAAGAAAGTAACTTCGACGGAACGTCGAATTCTTCGACGCTCGCAAAGTTTGCTTTTCCATCGCGGAGCTGGCGGAGCTAATTAAACATGTCACCGAGAGATTTATTGGGATCGATTAGTCGGTCGATTAAAGATTCATAGACGCGAAGGGAATAAAACGCCGCGAGACCAGATGCGAAACACGTTTCCAATTCTTTCTTTTTTCTCTCCGCGGTTTCGACGGAATGACGTCGAAATTTCGCGCCGGTATCGTTTATCGAATTATTCATGCAATTCGACCGCGCGGGATCTTCGTTGCGGACGGATATGAATTTCAAAACTGCGGGAGAAGTCGAATCGCGTTTAGGTTTCATTCGAGGCGCTTTGAAAAGTCATTCGCGACTCCTGGCTCGACTCTGCTAAACGATGAACATTCTCTTCCGTTTCCAAACAATTTTTCGATCGTATGTAGAGTTATTATTTTATATTGGTCGGTATTAGTATCGGTGATAATTTTCCTAAAACTTAAGAGTTCTTCCAATTTAGAATAGAATTACCAATTTCGCAATGTCATATTTT